TTTTTTTTTTTTTTTTTTGTGCGTGTGCCTTATGCCTTTTTGAGTTTTATGGATAGACAGTGTTCTTTGTAATTTAAAGACTAAAGTAGTTTTACTCCTATGGAGCTAACTTGAATAGTTACATTAAATAACTGGTATAAATACATGCTGATTTTTTAACTCAGCCTGCCTTTTTGTCAAAACACAACTTGTAGAGTAAAAGTAAATCACATATAAGATTTAGTTATGGGGTGAACAAATGTTTTCAATGACGACAGCTCAAACAAACACACTCAGGTATTTGGAATATGTGCAGGCATTTACAATATTAATGTCTGTACGTAAAACGTGATATTATTCAAGGTTGCTGACACATGGCACAAAACATTTATATCCAGCTTTTAAATATATAGAAAATTTTATTTGCTCTTTTTTTCCATGGTAATTTTACATAAGCACCAAGTGAATATTTATATGAACAAGTATCAACTGACATATTACTATTGCACTTAATACCTGAAGGCTGAATATTCCCAAGTTGCATTCGACTCGTAACTGTAAATCTGCATTATAAATGTATTTCACCATTGTTCAACTATTTCAAATATGGGACACAACTTCTTGGATACACATTCATCTGTGGAAAATGTAACAAACAAGGACAGAAAAGAACATGTTTCTTCTTGAAATACAGTTAATCTGAAACAATTTCTTCTTATCACATTCAGCTGTGCATGTTATCAATGAGACATTGTGATCAATTATGTCCTTATCCACCCTCCCTGATAATCATACTAACAACATGTCAATTGACAATTGAAAATTTACTTGATGCTACTGTTACTCATTTTGTGCCTGTCAGGCAAAAAAGATCTAGCTTCATTACAACTATAACAAATGTAAGAAAAATTTAATAACTATATCACATTCATTTTAAATGTCTTATAGAGACAAGTACGCTATAATTATCAATACCAGAGATATTCCACACAACAGCAATGCTGTGCTGCCTAATAAGAATCACCTCTAATGCTTATCATTTGTCTACCATCTATCAGTTTCATTTGTCTATGGAATTCTTCATTCCATTAATTGTAAAAAAAAATCTTTGAGAATGATAAACTGTGAACAAGTTTGTTGCTAGCCAGCGAGGACAGTCCTGTGTTACACACAAATGTCACTGGTCGGAGACTGCGCCTGTTTCCCTTTGTGCTTTGATTTGTCGGATTTACTGTGGTCTACACTACTTTTCCTCTCTCGTTGAATTCCAGGACCTGGGCAAATGTTAGATTGTTTGTTAGAATTTTTAGTGTTTAATGATAAGAATACATTTGGGTAGAACACAATCTGTCTGTACATAAAAATTAATAAAACAGATAGAGGAAAGAGTTAAAGAATGGCTTGAGAATGCCAATATAATCCTTTGACTTTTGATTCTTGAGTGTGCATTACCTAGATGAAAACGGACATACCCATATATATAATAAAACAGACTGCCAATGCCTCAAGACATCGATAGTTAAATATAACAAGATGCATTCTTTTCAACTTGTGATTTTGCTACAATTAAAATCAGTGAATCCATAAATTTAACTATAAAACAACTCTCTTACCTAATGAAACTAGAGCACTGCCTATAGCTAACCCATTCTGGCCTTGAGGTGTGAAATCTTCATCACCAGTGGGCAATTGGATGACTATGGACAGCACCGCAGCTTTATGGCCACGTAATGGCTCTATAGCTACTGGGCTGGATTTGCAAGGCTGAAAGACCAAATGTTCAGTATATGCTTACAAGACCCAATACTAACTCATATTTACCCAGTAAAATATATAAAGTTAATAATAAGTTAAAGGTGCTCCTGTCCACGGGCTTTGAAGTTTGTGTCATCATCATCAACCATGCAATTTATGTCATATACATTAATTAATTTAGTTTATCCATTGGCACGTCAACTTAATTTGAGTGGTATAAGAAACAAGTAGACGTGGTTTATATGCATTACTGGGAATCAACACTTCACTGACACCCCCCATTCATATGTACCTTTAAAAGGAGGCCATTTAAATCCACTAAATATTTAACTTCATATTATTTACTCAATCATTAGAACCAAGCATATAAAATCCTTTGTTAATCTTACATTACTACCGGGAACAATTAAGGTTCTACCTTTAAATTATTTTTCATCCTTTTCCGAAGATCTACAGGAGGTTGTGGTAATGGTTTTTCCTTGAGCTGTAAATGTTCCTCATCATTTCCACCTTGTAAGTCCAGGCTAACTATACTGAATGGACGGCTGGCCATCTGCTGCATCTGGACAAACATCCGCTGAAAAATACATGTGAAAATTAAGGCCACTTCAGGAAAAAATTATTTGTCCAATTTCAAACAAATATAAGAACTCATAAATCTCGGAATTGCTACTTCATACTTGAAAATGTCATCAATGAATTTAATGATTATCAAATTTAATCAATGAGAACACAGCAATCAGCAATCTCCTCCGATTCTTGATTTGAAATTTTGAAAGTTAAAGACGAAGGGTTACAAGGTTATCTCAGACTGTA